CAGCTAGTAATGGCTGAACTGGGCCTAGACCCAGGTCTGTTAAGCCTGAAACACACTCTCTACTCATCACTCTGTTTGGACAACTAGTGGTCTCTCAGCACGACCCAGTACCCACAGCCACGGTAACCGTAAGTTTTGGATTTTTCAGAACAGTAGCAGCTTTAAATATTTTCTTCAATATTGTACCAAATTGCAGACAGTAGATCCTAATTTTTATTTGGAAAATGTGCCCAATATCATACACCCAGTCTTGATTCAAGCTGTCCCCATAGCAGTCAAGGAGTCTGTGGAAAGAAGGAACCCATAAAACACATACATTGAGGATTTTGGTGATGTCCATAGAAAAAATAAGCAATGAGAAGAGGAAGAGCCCTTTGCAAAAATTGGCCTAGAGTTCCAGACCTGAAAATGTTACTGGTTAACCCAAATATTCAACAAAAGGGGAAATGAATGACGTGACATCGTTGGGTAACTATTATTGCTACCATCATGGACCCCATTTTGGAAAAAATACTAATGTGAGGAAAATCTCGTGCTATATTAAGTGAAAAGGCAGGTTATAAAATCCAATATGCTGCAATTCCCACTTTATGAAAAAAATTTAAAAAACCAGAAGAAAAACATCAGAATATTCATAGCGGTTATCATTGAATTCTAAGAGTATTTTATTTTTAGAGTTTTAAAAGATTTTCTGTATTTTTCAAGATGACTTTGTATTATTGTTATAATTAGAGCCCAATTAAGAAAGTGACATCAGAAAAGAAGCGGAAAATGCCCCTGCCAAGTACAGTGTTTCATTTATTTATCAGTGAAGAGCCCCGGGGATAACAATGGCAGAAGACATGGCCTCGTTTAAGAATGCATATTCTTCGTCTTCCTCCTCTCTTCCCCCCCCACTGTGAGACTGTGCTTACTAGTTTCTCCTGTTCTGCCGGCTCTCTTTCTGCTGCCTTTGGAGTATCAGCTTTCACGGATGTGCTTGCATATCCGTGAATTAGAAGAGCTTCCAAGTGATTCTCTTTCCCATTTCTCTGCCCTTTGAAGCTGGATAAGAGAGGGAAGGAAAATGAGGGAGAGCGAGTCCCCTGTCCTAGTTAGAGAGGTGTGTGTAGTTGCCTTCCTGCCCCTAAAGGAGCCCCAGTGCAGTCCAGAAGGTCCTGTTACGGCCAGGGTTCCCCCTGGGTTCTCAGCTCTCCTGGGCAGTAGGTCCTTTGCAAGCTGGTTGTGTGCACTTCCATCCTGTGACGCGGTTGTGTGTAAAGAACTGCCAGCCCCTGGAAACGTGGGCTGTTGGTGACAAGAACGTGTTTTATGGCTGTTTAGATGCTTTCATAGAACTCACCATAGCTGCCCTGGAAGACAGTCAAGGTCACTTTAGAGCTTCATCACGCCATGTGAAACTCTCCAGCCCAGAGGACACGCTGGGCCTGAGACTGGCAAGAAGGTGCAGGAGAGTGAGCCTGTAGAGAGCTATTCGGCTTACACTGGAAGAAACGATTTTCACGTCTTAAATGTTTTCAATGAAAAAATGTCGTTCTTTCCAGTTGAAGAAAATAATACATGTTTATTGTGAGTTTCAAGTTGTAGAAATCTAGAGCGTTTTCTTTCCGTTTATGGGAGGCAGGAAATCTTTCTATGACTCCTGAGGAACTCTTTTTTTTTCTTACTTCACTTTGAACAGATTAAATTTTGGGTGAGAGCTTTTCCTACGTTTTTCCCTCGGATGTTTCAGAAAGCAGCTACTGTGTGAGCTGTACCCGGGGGGTCCTCAGTGAAGCACATACGATGGACATGGATGAGGAGCTCGATCAGCCCCTGTCCCCAAAGGAACCGGGCCATTGTTCTCGCACTGAGTTCTGAAGATCCCGATAGGGCAGCAGGGCTCCCCACTCCGATACTAGGAGTCTTGGTGAGACAGTCGCTCTTTCTGTATCTAAGCACTTCTGCACAAAATGAGGATTCGGTCACCCCATAGCCTAAGGTTGTCATGAGGGGATGTGCAATACTGAATGTGAACCTGATCTGAAATTTAAAAATGTTACAAATGCAGGGTCTTATTCTTATTCTGCTATTCCACATGTCTTCATTGGTAACCAAAAATCAACATAAAATATTTTTGAATATCAACTACTAAGTGCTTAGCACTGCAGAAGACAGTGTAGAGAACACAGAAGTAAAAAACTTGGTCCATCCCTCAAGGAGCTTACGCACCATCCGTGATGACCTAATGGTATGGTACACGCTTGGCCTTTCGGCGTTCAGAGGAAAGATTTTTCAGGGTGTTAGAGGAACAGGAGAGGCTTCATGGAGGATGAGTAGGTTTGAACAGGCTGCAGGGAAGTGGTGCAATCTCCTGGGTTTGGGGGAAGAGGGCGAGCAAAGACATCCAAGGGGTAATGGTATGCTGAGTTCAGCAGGCATCAAGAAAAATGGTGGACCAGACCAGAAAGTGCTGTGGATATAACAGGAAGTAAGTTGGGAAGCAAAGGAGAGATGATGGGGATAGGCAGGGGGAGTCCCACGAGTCAGACAGAACTGAGTCCCCAAAGAAAGAATGTACCCACAGCAGCCGATTTCTACACCATAATATCCAACTGTCTACTCCATATATCTGGTAACCTGCTGATAATGTTGTTGTAAAGAGAAAATGGAAAAAAAATCTATTTCTATATGTCTTAGAAACTATAAAAGGGAATATAAATGTTTGTTGTAATTTTAATACGCCTTTATTAAATAAAGATAACCCAGGAATAGAAGTAATCTTTTCCTCTTGAATTTCTGAGGGTATTAATTATGGAAAATGATCCAGGAAAAATATAACTTTTCATCCGAAAAGTTTTATTTATAGAAATACTAAATAAACAAAACATTTGAGTAGGGAAATAGTGGGATTGCATGCTTAGAAATTTTATGGGTTTTGCAGAAAGATAGATCAATCAAATTGTAGGGCAGCCAACTTCCCTTCATCTTGAATTTCAAAGCACTCATTTTGGGGGTTGGTTTTTTTTATCTTTGCCCTAGACTTTGAATGGCTGGCGCCAGGTCCATGCCAACCAAGATCATTAACATGGTGCCATTGATTTTAATGAAGCTGGAGGTTTGGCTAAATATGGGAACTGCAAGGTACGTATCTGCAAGACAATAATAATGAATAATGCGTATTTATGGACTTTTATAAGCACAGATTATCCATTTAGTGCAGCTTAATGGATCCGAAATTTTTCAAATTTTCTTCAGTCAGTTTATAGAATTATTTTTCAACTCCATGGATTTCAAAATCTCCCCCCCTCCTTGTTTGTAATACTGTTGAATTATCACAAGATTACATGTTTGCGTAGAGATACATAAAATGTTAGTATTTTGTGGGTGAGTGACAGCTAAGGTTTTTGAAAGCCTATGCATGCAGTTTGAGCTAGCAGACATGAAACGAGCCAACAGTAGAACTTGGGCTGGTGGCAACAAGACAGTATTCTATGGCTGCTTAGATGCTTTCCTAGTATCCTTCAGTTGGCTTAGAGGGGGACTTTCTTGTAAGTAGGAAACTTATTTGTAGGCATAACTGTTTCTCCAATAAACCTCTATTTACTGTATTTTCTAGGTCCAGTTGCATTCAACCTGGGGCAACTATTTTACCTGCAGTTAGAACGAGGCAGCCTCAGCCACCTCTGCCCAACAGGACAAAGAAGTGTTGGCAGAGAGCGGAAAAGAGAAAACTCAGTCAAAGCAGAGCCACTGTGTAGCATGGGTCAGTAGAGGCAGCCGTCCCTGGGTGGACAGACGCTATACTGGGAACATCTCTTTGGGATTTGAAATCCTCACCCTGCTATTCCATCAAGTGAAATTCCCTCCGTTGGTCACCAGGTTCCTGAGTAAATGAATACAACTGCATGTCTAAGGCTGGAAACAATTCATTATGATGATTCAAGTTCGGTTTTTGAATTTGATAAGTTTCATTTAAATGAAGAGTTTCTGGGTGATGCAAATGGTTAATGAGCTTGGCTGTTAACTGAAAAGTTGGAGTTTGACTCCCCTCAGAAGTACCTTGGAAGAAAGGACTGGTGATCTACTTCTGAAAGGCCAGCCATTGAAAACCCTATGGAGCACAGTTCTACTCTGACACACGTGGGGTCGCCATGAGTTGCAGTCAACTCAATGGCAACTGGTAACTGGTAATTTAAATGGATGTTGGCATAATGTGGGGCACTCTCTGGAAGTTGGCAGTAAAAGCTGCAACTTCATTTATTTGGTCCATTAGAGTGTCCATCCGGACATTCCTGAGGAAGTGGGAACATTCTCTCCGGCAGAATTGAGCTTAGGAAGTAGTGTGTGTCCCCAGATCAGGAGAAGAATGACCTGTTGTTCTTGGACAGAGGTCAGCAAACTGTAGCCTGCAGATCTGGTAAGGCTGTTCACCTACTGCTCTCCTGGACTTGGGAATCTTGTTTGTAAATGGCCAGCCGTTTCAGGGCCACAGGAGCCAGGACTCCTTGTGATGAAGACAAATACCAGTGGCTCTCTAGTCACCTCTAACTCGTGGTGACTCCATGTGTGTCAGAGTACAACTGTGCTCCATAGGATTTTCAGTTGCTGATTTTTTTCAGAAGTAGACTGCCAGATCTTTCTTGTGAAGTGCCTCTGGGGGGACTGGAACCTCTAACGTTTCAATTTGCAGCCGACCGTGTTAGCTGTTTGCACCAACCCAGGGACTTCTTTACAGTGAAGAGGGGATGTTTTTTCCTCCAGGGCTATACCGTTTTGGAGGTGACTTCTCAAGTATTAACATGGTGCTATGATGACATCACTGAACCTGAGTCCGGGTGAGATGAAGACACTTCAATGGAAATATTTATTTGTTTAAAAATATAGCTTAGTTTTTCCTCTCCAACTTTGAGAAGGAATATTTTTTTTGGAGAGGAGGGTGAAGACAAGACAACAGGAGCATTCTGACATTCATTACAAATCCTAGGGAACCGTTGCAAAGTGTCCTTGCCAGTTCCAGCTCATGAAACCTCACATCCCTTTTTCCATTCGGTCAGGTCTTTGCCCTCACAGTATTTCTTCCAGCCTTGCCTAAGGAGGAGAGGGGAGCAGGAAGAGCAGAAAGAAGCAGCCATGACAATCCAAATAATGCTCAGGTGCAAAATCATAGCTAATTAACCAAAATAACCAGCAGTGCTCAGGGTTTATTTTATTTGCATTTGAAACCCAAGGACTGTATCCTTTTGCCTTGTTAAGACTTTTTTCTCTCAGTTTTCTCCTAATCATGATTAGCCTCAGTAACAATTAAACAACTTTTATAAGATGGGGCCATTTAGTTAAACACCCATATCTCTGAAAATCTGGGTTACACAAGGTGGTAGTCCAATTAGCAATTTTGCTAGAAACACAGCTGAGATGAGGGTGAGTACCCTAGGCAATGTCCCGTGCACAATCCTAGTGAAGTTTTCTGCTAAGTTATTATCTAACAGACACGGTCATTTTCACTCTGTGATGCTTGTTCTCTTTCCCTACAAAATGTTGTTGTAGCCCTCCAAAGTCGTATCCAAATTTTGAGCAAATGCAAGCATTTTTTCCTCTGGTCTATTGACTTCATTGGTCCTTTCCAATTCACTTTGGTAAGTACCTTTTTCCCCATTGCTTGCAATGCTTTATCATGAAAAGCAATTGCAAATTATCATGACTTAGTACCATCTCTTCTCCCTGTTCTGGTCTCTTTGATATGTTCACTGCACATCCACAGACTGAAGGAGAAGAAAATAGACAAGGGCACATTAAAATCTTTGGACCTCTAATGGAACAACCAGAATGGAAATAATGAGAATGTTCACACATTGTGAAGAATGTAGTCAATGTCACTGAACAACCTGTGTAAAAATTGTTGAATGGGAGCTGCTGTATAAACCTTCACCGAAAATACAATATTATTAAAAAACAAAAACAAACAAATCTTTGGACCCTCTGTGGAGGTGAGTTTCCCAACATCCCTCGTAGCTGTGATGAACAGACACATCATGATGTTGGCACATGTCAACCAAAGACTCCCAAGGAGAGACTCTTACCAATAGTTCATCCCTTCTGTTTCTTTCACAATTTTCTTGGCACAGATAATTGCATCTGTGAGGTCGTCAGTGATCAAGGCTGTAAAAGAGAGAAGACACAGGGTGAGCTATGGCTTTGTTGTTTGAGGAGGACCCCAAATCACGTTTTCTTCACTTTTCTCACTGTTTTGGAACACGAAGCCATATTCTTATTTTTGTTAAGCTTATTTACAAATCATAGACGTTTTATGTTTCAAGATCATCCACATTTTGGACTTCAGTGAAGTTTCAGAGGAATTGCCCAGTCCTGAGTGGTTTTTGGAAATGTGTTTAGAGAAGACAATGAGAAAATGTTTTCATTTTTGGCCTTATGTCCTAGAGAAAATACACAAGTACCACGGGATAGTACAGTGTTTCTCTACTTGGGGTAATTTGACATGCAAGATCTCTGTATGGATACATATTACATTTTTTGTGTATTATAATTTTTTAAAATGTATTTCCAGTTTGTCTTAAAAAAACTCTACAAGATGTTTTTCACATGCAGACATTTTAAAGTTTTATGTCAAATACATCAGTCTTTGTCTTTATTACTGTTTTTATTACTTCAGACTTAAGAAATCTTTGGATTGAAAATTTATTAATTGACATCTGCGTTCTTTTCTACTTGCCTGGAAACCAAAACCAAAAACCAAACCCGTTGCCATCGAGTAGATTCTGACTTATGGCAACTCCATGTGTTACAGAGCAGAACTGTGCTTCATGGGGTTTTCTTGACTGTACTCTTTATGGGAGCAGATCACCGGGACTTTTTTCCGTGGTGCCACTGGGTAGGTTCAAACCGTCAACCTTTCAGTTAGTAGCTGAGAGAAAACTCAAGTAGCCTCAAAATCTTTAACACAAACATAACATAAAAAGACTAACATCACTTCTGTTTCAGACTGGCTTCTCCAGAAGCAGATACTACAATGGGTGTGGGGAGCGAGACATTTATTAGGGAGTAACACCTGTGAAAGAAATGGGGAAAGGAGGCAGGATTGGCAGATGGAGACGTCCATCTGGGATGCAGGACCAGCATAGCTTCAGCCAACCTGGCCAGATGCTCTGGAGTGAATACTGCTCATTGTCTTTATCCCTCTGTCTCACTCAGTCACCAGGTGTGGGCTTAGTCACCAGGTGTGGGCTCAGTCACCAGGTGTGGGCCGCCCCAGGATGGAAATTGTCATTAGGTGAGACAGCTCTCTGCAGCTAAGACAGATCCTGGAGACCTCCCTTAAAGGGGCATCTGGGCAGTCCATCTCCATGACTACCAAAACCACCAATCACAGAAATCCAGACAATTTCGCATCACTTTTATTTATTAACAAAGCAAAACTTTTGAAAAATTGGATATTGCTCAATGTTGACAAGACTACAGTGAGGCAGGCACTCTTTTTTTCAATTACGGTAAATATATATGTAACAATCGTTTGCCTTTTCAGCATTCTTCACGTGTACAATTCAGTGACATTAGTTATGTTTATTATGTTGTTCAACCATTAACATTATCCATTTCCAAGTTTTCCCATCACCCTTACTTGCTGGTGGGAGTATAAATGGGCTCAACTTTTCAGAAAACCAATTTAGCAGTAGGTATCGAGAAACTTGAAGTTGTTCTTATCATTTCACCTAATGCTTTCCCTTTCTAGATCTAGTCTAAGGAAATAATCATAACTCTAGACAAAAATATATTTACAAAGTGGTTTACTGTAGTTTTACTGATAAAAGTTAAAATGGAAAAAGTATAATTTTGTAATAATTAAGGCGGGTTCAAATTACTGTTTTTATGCAAATAACGTGTACCTTCTGAGTCATTCCCTCCTCCGTGAGGTATTTTCAGAGGCTCCGCTATGCCATTTTTTTAAATGTTGTTGTAAAAATAAAAAATCAGTATAGGACGCTTCTGAAAATCCCTGGGGTGGAGAGAGGGAGTGGTTGACAAACACATGTAGAAGACGTAAGTTATTTGCATAAACATACAATAATCCATATGATGAAATAAGGAGCCATTTAAATCACGTTTTCACAGGACATATAATAATATGTGAAAATGTTCCCAATGTGATGTTAGTTGCCCAAATATGTAAAAATATC